CCACCTTTTAATTGGATGATTTAACAAAACACATGGCTACAGTCATCGATTGTGTTTGACATTATGGCATGTGAAGAGGCCCGTTAGTCAATATAGAAGTCCATGTAAAGTTATGGCATGTGAAGAGACCCGTTAGGCCATTTAGAAATCCATATAAAGTTATGACATGTGAAGAGACCCGTTAGGCCATGTAGAAATCCATGTAAAGTTATGGCATGTGAATAGACCCGTTCGGTGATTGTCACGGTCATATCGCATGTTTATGTTATGTGTCTGGTTTAATAATTTTAACATTGAGCAATAGTGTTTTTCTTTGGAACTCTCTCATTTTTCGCGACAATTTGACTCAGTCATGAAAGCACTATGACGCAATTCTGGTGGTGCTGAGAGTAAAAAAACGCAGATTTTTGTTATGGACGTCAGGCTGTATTTGTTTTAAGAAATGAGTGACTGATTTGTTACACTAGTTCCTAAAAATTCAACTGTCTCACAGATGAATAGTATTGTTGCTGGTTGGTTTGTTATGCATTTTCTCTTAGCACGTTACATAAATAATTAAAGTACACATTTTACTTCAAACTGTATCGTGAACATCTTATCAGAGAGAAAGGAAACGGAGTTTAGGCTCTGATTCGATAGTGTGTCTGTGGCCGTTGGAAGAGGGACCTACCCCTAGATAACATTTGGCCACAGTGGGGGCTCGTCTAAACAGTGAGCCATAACGTCCATACCAGCCCAGATTTCGTCACAACGATGTAGAAATCCATGTAAAGTTATGACATGTGAAGAGACCCGTTAGGCAATGTAAAAGTTTGAGTTTCACAAACCCAATTAACATTCATCAAATGGTAGACTGCGACACAAGTTATTCTTTTCTTTGTGAAAACCTTTTCTCCAAATTAATTCATATTTGTATTCATTTTTTTTTTTCATCTTCTGTTGTTGGTTTTTTTTAAAGCTTATTTTATCAAGTTTTATAAATTGTCTCAAGCCATTGAAATCACTAGTGCATTTGAATACGTTCAACCTTTACTTTATCTAATCTTTGACATAAAAACATACAAAATTGTGGCACGCAGTTAACATTAGCATTTTGTTTCTTCGCAAGGCAAATCTAATTCTATAGCAACATTGCTTCAGACATAAAAGACATCTTTTCTGGATTGGGAGGGGGGTTTTAATATACACTTAAAGTACTCAAATTTATACTCGTAACCAATTTCTTTGACTACTGCTCAGTGTCGATACTGCTTACAATCTCAACAACTTCATATATTTTAAAACCTTTTTAATCGACCAATGTAAGGGTCAGCAAACTTGTTTCGTGGCGGGCCAGATCACGGACAAAACGACGAGCGTGGGCCAAATGTTCATTATGTACAATATTGGCAAGCCAGAACGAAAAAAGACGAACAACCAAGTTTAGTATTTGATGTTAATCACGCGTGAGTGGCGTGCATTGTCCAAAAAAACAAAGACAACCTGCATATTAATTTATTTTAAAAAGCTATCAAAAAGGCGACGTTAGCGAAAAGATAGTAGCATCAGACCTAGCGTGCATATAACAGCAGAATCTCGCAAACTAAGCAGCAAAAAATGTTAATGTGATTTGTGAAACTGACTTTTGGCTTTAAAGTTATCATCAATGTTTGGTTTGGATATGCTGCATCCAATCGAGAGAATTGTTTTTAAATGATCAGTCGCTCTCGTTCGATGTGTTGATCTCACACACTTTATTTTTGAAAATACTTCCACAAAGGCAAAAGTTGTTTCGACCACTGACGTCATACCAGTGGCAAATTTCTTCACTTTCGGAAACTCAACATCAGGTAATCGGCGGTAAAATTCAACAAGTTTTCCTTCTCGTTGCTTCTCTTTCAACAAAAGTCCTGCTTCAAATCATTGAACTCCTACTGTAATTCAACTGGCACATTATCAAGGTTACAATAAAACGGATTCTGGGACAGAAGAATGTCACTCTCCATTCTGTCAATATCTGAAAATCTCTCCACATAGCGCCTCTTCAAGTCACCAATATTTTTTTTCCGGAAAATCGAGGTTGACATCCTCATTGGTTGTAGCGCATCTGAAACAGTAATAATAAGAAAAGTTTTCTCCTTCCAGATGTTAATTAACGTCAGCTTTCTCCAAAATCCTTTGATGATTCGTAGAGATCATAGATGATGTTATCCTTTCCCCACTGAAGTTTCAAGTTTAGTTCATTCATGTCGGAGGTGATGTCGAACGAGAATTACAACTTTGACAGCCAGGTAGCATCTGAAAGCTGTGGATCAGTTCTAACGTTTTCAGTGAGAAAAATATATATTTCGTTTCGGAGCTTGTGAAAACGAAACTGGATTTTACTGAAGCTGATCCACCTCACTGCTGTGTCATAAGGCAAGTCACAGATCACAGAATCATTTTCTTCAAGAAAACCCTGGAACTAACGATCATTGAGTACTTGTCCCTGAATAAAGTTCACAGCAGAAATGACTGGTCTCAGTACACAAGAAAAATCCTATGTCTTTCCCACAGATTCCATGCTGATGTGTTATTCAGTGTATTAACAGAGCACCTGGAATTAGCAGATCTTCCAACGGAGTCTTTATCTGCATAAACAGATCTTTCCTAGCTCTAGCAATATGTGCAAAAGTTTTTGCATTTCCTTGAAAATGTATTTTCCAGTTGTTGTTCCATGCATGCTGCAAACGGATCCAACTCTTCCCTTACCTGAAAGTGCAAATTAACAGCCAAAAAAACGCGAGAAGCTGTGACATACTTAAGAGATCGGTAGACTTATCAAGCTTTAGAGAATACCATAGCAAGCTCCTAGCTTTCTCGCGTAACTGTAGCACTATGTTCTCTCCAAGTTCTTCTGTTCCCCGCACAACTGAACTTGCCGAAAGTCTGATAGTTCCTACCACGGCGACCATGATTTTTAATGTCCCCGTATGTTTCCAACACGCCACTTACTTTCACCCATTCACAGTTTGTGGTAGTTATCATACTATAATATATTAGCGGGATTAGGCTTAAAGGATATTGATTCTTATTTCTTTTTAACCAGCTATTCCTAAAAAAAAACAATTAAAAAAAAACTCAAGTCATTTAGTAGGTTTTTTTTAAAAATGATTTCATCATTTGTTAATTAATTATGATTTACATACATCTTGGTTTATGCTGATCTGAGTTCGAGTTTAAACAAAGTTAAATTTCACCAGTAACTTTATTTTTACCAGTGATAGACTGTGATAATATGATATTTCGTCCATTCAATATAAATCTATATTTAAATCAAATACACGTCTGCAAAACAAGGTGACCGCAGATTGCAATATTAAGTCGGCCATCTACTTTTAGAAGATCACATTTTTTTACGCCAGCTTAACTCGATCCCACTAGTTACTGCGATGAGAGTAGTTGTTGTAATCATTATATATACTTAATTTATTTATTTACTATTAAGATACTGTATCGTACGATTTTGTGACGATATTGTACGGTTTTAGGAGTTCGGCGGTAATCAGGTCTGCAAATCTAGATACAACAATATAACTTTGGAAATGGTAAATTTAAGGCCTATAGCAGCGGGAAGGTCTTCACACTTGAGAAGTTCCCCTAGCATTCTAAACATGATGTTTAACATTTATCACAAAGAGTCGTGTTCCTTACGTTTTATTAAGCAAATTCAAGTACCATCGGCGGGCCGAATGAACTGACCGCGGTCTGTAGTTTGGTGACCTCCCTGAACCAGTGGCTGGGATAATCCTATAACTCGACACCTTGTATGACCTGGATAGAGATAGTGGAACATCCGCATTCAGGTAAGGTCTATATTCTTTAGTCCGAGGATTTCAATATTGATTCAAGCAACCGGGACATGCATTAAGAATCCCGTACGACCAGTTGGCGTAGTTAGACATCACGTGGCCTCTAAGTGAGCTTCAGTACACTTCGAAACATAAAATGGATTTGCGAATATTGTCTGTGCATTTTAATTTGGTTGGTACGCTGTCAAAGGGCTTTTTTGTTAACGTACAAAAGTTGGATGTTTTGATTATGACATCATCGTGTACAGTCATCAAACTAGGAAAAGCCCACTCCTTAGCCTCATCTATTTTTAGCTCTCCATTGCTGCATTTCATCTATCAGGGAACCCTATGACGTAATGGTTACTATTTTTAACCATTAAATAAAAAAAACATAGGTGCATTCAATTTTGTTTTAAGTCTAAGCTGACTTTCGTCAGATAAAACAAATAAGTAACACAAAATTTAGGTGGCTTTCTGTTGCTGAGGAGATTTAATAGATAAGAAAGATTTTTGTTCAATTCTCTAGTTTATTCAAGGGGGGGGGGGGTGGTAAGTCATTTTTTCAAAGTATTTAAGTAAGAAAAATAGAAATGTGTACCTTTTGTATTCTCAACCAGTGAAAATGCTGAGGAGATTTAATAGATAAGAAAGATTTTTGTTCAATTCTCTAGTTTATTCAAGGGGGGGGGGGGGGGGAAAGTCATTTTTTCAAAGTATTTAAGTAAGAAAAATAGAAATGTGTACCTTTTGTATTCTCAACCAGTGAAAAGATTAACACAATAGTTAACTTTATTAAAGTCTTATCTTTTATTTTGAAAAGTATTTATAACTAATTTATAACATTTTATATTTATATATTCATAATTTTTTTTAATATTTACTATCTATGTTATTATTATTTAATTTAAAATGAGGCAGTTTGATGAATCTAAGGACTTTATAGCAAGAATAACGTGATAAGGTCATGTAAAATCAAATGAAGTCAATGTCAACAGATTACAAACCATTGACCACTTGATTCATTTCGACCCTAACTATTTACAATACTTAAATACAGATTAAACATATCCTATACATACACACATAATATGTGTATGCCCTTCAAGTTCTCATGAACAGACAAGCTAACAAAACTGAAACAACCGCACGAGTAGAAGATAGCTTTAATAAGTAAAGGCTCATACACTCAGATAAAACTCGCCACCATTTTTTTGAGAGCACAGCAACGAAAATGGCTCGTTTTGAATTCGTTTATTTCATTTTGTCAGCTTTATTCGGTAAGGAACATATTTGCTCATTTAAAGTTATATGTGTTTATTAATAATTTTAAATAATTATTTTTAAAAATATCTATACGCTTTTCCCTACACAAAAATAAAAATTGAGGGAGATTTACCTAAGACTGAGCTGTATGAAAAGTATGGGTAATGCTGAGAGTCTGTGAAGTAATATTGTAACACGATGACTCGATGAATTCCTAGAGAGTTCAAAGAAACCTGTCTGAAATTCGATGTAGTTTCCATAAGGTAACCCACTTGTATTCTCTTATTGTACAGTGTAGTTGCATTATAATAGCAAAAGCTATACTCGAATGCTTGGTTTAAAATGTAGGCCTCTTGGTAAATTATTGCATCTAGCTAGGCCAAACGTGGAAAGTAATACATTGCATTATTCCTTATAAAATATCTATGATTTTTTTTTTTTAAGATATCAGAATTTTTCGTGAACTAATTAGTTAGAATAAAGTTAGTTCGTTATCTAAACTATTTTCCTCACTGCTGTTACCTATGAAAGAGTAAGTTATTTTTTTCTTATATGATTTTTTTTTTAAATTGTTGGAATGTCTGGAACACTCAAGGGATATGACATTCTTATTGATGATTTCTATATACAATAACTATAGCTCGTCAAACATTGACGACAGCAATGCGTGATCGTCCTATCTACTAAAGTTACTTGACAAAACATGAACTCAAGTAACGCACATTTAAGAATCCCAATTTTTGATACACACCCTTACCCCATGATACGTCACTGCACACTTTTTATTTCACGCCCATGAACTATGTTAATATTATGATGGCCCGGCCACTTTTAAACCAAATAATTCTTAAACCATTTTAAAATTAGAAAGTTTCATTTCCGAAAATAAAAGAAAACATTACGCACCAAACTCAGTTGCGTTATTTAAAAATTAAATCATTTAGCGTAGTTATCGGGAATTATATTGTGCGCTCTATCCGGAAATAGAACCAGTCACACCACAAGCAAAATATATATACATGAAATAATTATCTTCTATTATAAATGCATTATAATCTTCTATTATAAAATACATTATAATTTACTTAATGTGTCACTGTTTATTCAGGAACAAGCTTGTGTGAGTATTGCTACTACAGTGCAAGTTACATCTTCGGAAGCTACAGCCGCTACAGCAAGTATTGTCCCTTTGGCTGCTGTGGTACCAGCAGCTACCAGTACTGCTGTGTCACCAAGTAAACACCTTTTATAACCTCTTTCTCTTCTTTAAAATTAGGGCAGGCCTGTATATAATGAAATCTATTCACATTGTAGATTTTTTTTTTTTAAAAAGGTGGAATTGAATCTCTACCATATTTTAATGAAGGGGATATAACGGATATTTTTGCTAAAAATCAAGATAAGAATATTTAATATATGGGGGGACTAAGTAATCCGATGCAAAAATGATTGTATGAGTATACGTTATAAAATAAATATATTCTAGGGCTTAAACGGATTCATTTTTTATACAACAGTTCTCACTGACAGTCTTACTACGAGTATTTTGAGACATGGACCTACACCCTACCTGCCGCCTTTAAAACAATAGGCCTACATCCTACCTGCCAGCCTTTAAACAAAAGCCCTTAAGACATACTTACACACTACCTTTCAGCCTTTAACTTTAAACTTTAAACAATAGTCCTACAGACAGTCTTACACTATACCTGTGGTTCCTTATTGATTACTAATTACAGTCGCCTCTTCCATAGAGATTTTTTTACTCGAGTTCACACGTCACGCATGACGGCCTTTCTCTTTCATTAATATTAAGATAAATTATGTGGAGTTGGGGAGGGGTCAGTTTCGAAGAGGAAGCAGGACACACCAGAAGCAAAATATATATTAGAGATTTTTTTAGAAGAGATAACGCCCCCATTAGTCAGCACATGATGTACACAATAAAATATTCACTTTTTCATTCTTTGTTCTCTCATTGTTGTATGACAACTTAAGCTGTAAAACTAAATTTAAACGCATGTTCTTAAACGAGAATAGACTCCGAATTCCATTGTGTGGCTCATAGTCTATAGACTTGAACACGCAGGCATGGGTGTGTACCCGTGGTGACGTCTTACGACTCCAAATGAAATTCCCTGAGAGGCAATATTGACAAACGCCCTTTAATTTAAAAAATGACTTTAAAAAAATGCCATACAATAAACTATAGGGTGTTGAGTCACACAGCATAGAATTATAGAGTTGATGAAGAAATAGTTATACGTCATAGAATTATATAGTTGATGAAGAAATATTCCTACGACATAGAATTATATAGTTGATGAAGAAATATGCCTACGAAATAGAATTATATGGTTGTTCATGAAATGTTCAAACTCCACAGATATTTGATTTGTTTTAACTCCAAAGTTTTTACCCAATATCATGAAATACATGTCCGTTTAAAAAATATTGAGTTATCTACCCTGCTATGAGACCTACTGTCGGAAGCAGTCTCCAGAGAGATAATAGATATAGACCAAGTTGTTAAAAAGAGGAAGTAATTTCTGACAAACACAGATCTCCTGATAACGACTAGATACTCCGAAAAGCTGCTGTGCTTTAAACTCAACCCAGCAAATGTCTAAGTACATGAGTAACACAGAGATTGCAGAGAGAACACTTCTAAAATGTACACACAGATAGAGCCCATGCTTCCAGTGAGGAGGCATTCCTTCTCCGCACTATGTTTATAATACTTCATTGAGACATTCTTTCTCCACACAATGTTTATAATACTTCATTGAGACATTCTTTCTCCACACTATGTTTATAATACTTCATTGAGACATTCTTTCTCCACACTATGTTTATAATACTTCATTGAGACATTCTTTCTCCACACTATGTTTATAATACTTCATTGAGACATTCTTTCTCCACACTATTTTTATAATACTTCATTGAGACATTCTTTCTCCACACTATGTTTATAATACTTCATTGAGGCATTCTTTCTCCACACTATGTTTATAATACTTCGTTGAGACATTCTTTCTCCACACTATGTTTATAATACTTCATTGAGGCATTCTTTCTCCACACTATGTTTATAATACTTCATTGAGACATTCTTTCTCCTTACTATGTTTATAATACTTCATTGAGACATTCTTTCTCCACACTATGTTTATAATACTTCATTGAGACATTCTTTCTCCACACTATGTTTATAATACTTCATTGAGACATTCTTTCTCCACACTATGTTTATAATACTTCATTGAGGCATTCTTTCTCCACACTATGTTTATAATACTTCATTGAGACATTCTTTCTCCACACTATGTTCATAATACTTCGTTGAGACATTCTTTCTCCTTACTAAGTTTATAATACTTCGTTGAGACATTCTTTCTCCACACTATGTTTATAATACTTCATTGAGACATTCTTTCTCCACACTATGTTTATAATACTTCGTTGAGACATTCTTTCTCCTTACTAAGTTTATAATACTTCGTTGAGACATTCTTTCTCAACACTATGTTTATAATGCTTCATTGAGGCATTCTTTCTCCACAGTATGTTTATAATACTTCGTTGAGACATTCTTTCTCCACACTATGTTTATAATGCTTCATTGAGACATTCTTTCTCCACACTATTTTTATAATACTTCATTGAGACATTCTTTCTCCACACTATGTTTATAATACTTCGTTGAGACATTCTTTCTCCACACTATGTTTATAATACTTCGTTGAGACATTCTTTCTCCACACTATGTTTATAATACCTCATTGAGACATTCTTTCTCCACACTATGTTTATAATGCTTCATTGAGACATTCTTTCTCCACACTATGTTTATAATACTTCATTGAGACATTCTTTCTCCACACTATGTTTATAATGCTTCGTTGAGACATTCTTTCTCCACACTATGCTTATGATACTTCATTGTGGCATTCTTTCTCCACACTATGCTTATAATGCTTCATTGAGACATTCTTTCTCTACTCTCCACTTCATGCTTATAATGCTTCATTGAGGCATTCATTCTCCACTCTCCACATCTTGCTTATAATGCTTCATTATCTTCCCCAGTGCTGGTTACATAGTCGCCATCGTTGCTGCCGTCATCTTCTGTGTATCGGTCATTGTGACCATTGTCTGCTGCTGTAGACGCAGGGCCATGAATACCCGTATGACCACCACCACAGTGGTGGGCGGGCCTCCAACAGTCATGGGTGGGCCTACTACGGTGATTAACCCACACGCTACATATATCACGCCCAATGGTAAGACTGTCAGTGAGTACTGTTGTAAATGGTTGGTCGGACATCGCTACATATATCTCGCCCAATGATAAGACTGTCAGTGAGTACTGTTGTAAATGGTTGGTCGGACATCGCTACATATATCTCGCCCAATGGTAAGACTGTCAGTGAGTACTGTTGTAAATGGTTGGTCGGACATCGCTACATATATCTCGCCCAATGGTAAGACTGTCAGTGAGTACTGTTGTAAATGGTTGGTCGGACATCGCTACATATATCTCGCCCAATGGTAAGACTGTCAGTGAGTACTGTTGTAAATGGTTGGTCTGACATCGCTACATACATCTCGCCCCATGGTAAGACTGTCAGTGAGTACTGTTCGAAACGATTGGTCTGAAAATGTCACAAAGATAGCGTCATCATTGACATAGAGTATTCTTGTTTGGACACGCAGGAAAAACTTAAACATCTCCCCTCCCCCCCCCCAAAAAAAAAACAAAAAACTATGATTACTTGACACCAGCCTTTTCCCAGCCTCTCCCATCAGAAATTTGAAAATAGGCAGTCAAGCGTACCTCGTCATCATTCGTCAAATTCGAGAAGAGATCAGACATGAAACACTATTGGAATGGTAAAATTTCATAGAAGACATTAGAACGTTAAAGATATGTTACACCTCTGTTGGTGAGATCTCTCCAATCCTGACACCCAGAAATAACTTATCCTACAAAAGAAGCTAGATAACTTAAATAACTTATCCTGCAAAAGAAGCTAGATAACTTGTCACATGGTCTGAACGTGATTGATGTCAATGTGGGGACAACTCTAACAATTGAGTTGCTCAAAGTATCCGTAGGATTTATCGCACAGACCGCAGCAAGGGATTCACTATTAAATGTTATCAATTCAGATTTTAAACCCATGCTAAATGATAAAGTAATTTAAGATTTATCTGGACTGCGTTGTTGTAAAATATCTAAAAAGTTTAATCTGAAGTAAACAGCAATGCTGTTTATATATTAACACCATCCCCCCCCCTCCCACCCCCCCACACCAAAAATATATATATATATATATATATATATATATATTTTAAAGTGAGTTTTCATTTGCAGAAAATATTTTCCAGAAAAAAATATTTAAAAACTTATTTAAGCTTCGTTTACATCCAATTCAAATCATTTGGCTGCTTAGAGTGCTTAGAGTGCTTAGAGTGCTCATCTATACTTCTGTAAAGTCGTTTTGTGTGTGTGTGTGTGTGCAATGTATTTTAAGAAACTTTAAATAATTGTCTTCATTTTACAATTTTTTTTTTTAAATATAATTTTTTCCATTACTTTATTTAAATTTTAATATCAATCTCGTGGAGATGTATAATTTCACTCCAGTTATGTAAGGTTACAGGTCGTATTACAAACTACTTCCTAGTTAAAAGTCCTATTATTTTAATAATTTTTTTTTTTTTATTATTTTTTTTTTTAAATATAATTTTTTACTTTATTTTATTTAAATTTTAATATCAATCTCGTGTAGATGTATAATTTCACGCCTGTTATGTAAGGTTACAGGTCGTATTACAAACTACTTCCTAGTTAAAAGTCCTATTGGCCACTCAGATTTTGTGTCCAGGGGGTGGGGTATGGTGGGGGGGGGTCTTAAAAACGATTAGAAAAGAAACTTGAGGGGGGGAGAGATAACTCCAGCTTCTTATCGAATGCTTGAGTCATGCAAGCACAGTATGTACAAACGTCATCAGTACGTGTGTCATAGGCCTAGCCAGTGTGTCTTGGACAAGGAATCCTGAGTTCATGTTTTATGGTAGCGAGAACTCTTTAAGGAGCTGTCTATGGGAGGGCGAATTATTATTTTTGAAAAGGTTACCTGATCTCACTTCGATTAAATGGAGCAAAAATTTCACGTCTCAAGGACGAGTGGAGGTCATAACTTAAAACGTGTGGGCGGGAGGAAGGGTTTTTTATATTTACCGTGGCTTGGGGTGAGTTACACAGAAACCTTAGAGAATCATTAGTGAGGGGGAGAACTGGAGAGCTTGTTAGTCCTGTGTGGAACCGTTGAATCTGTTGTGTCGTAATTATCCTATCATGGCAATGAGTGTCGACTTGTCTGACCAAGTCTCTCACTTGATCCCACGAACAGTATAGCTAATATCAGCAGTTAATAATACAACCAACGTTAACAGGTTCGTAGCTACATAGGAGTTTATTTAACACTACTCCATTAACTATGGTTGATGTATAATTTCAGAATTGATAATCAAATTACTCCAACCAAACACTACTCAATACACAAATTAAAACAGTTCACCCAGTAAATCCACCATCAATTCATCCATAACAACAACAACGAGAACGAACGCGTCATTTCCCTTTACACAAATACGTCACAACACTTTCACACAATAGATACAGCTACACATAAAGTCTCTAACTAAACATCTTTTCCCTATCAAACATGACAACAGTGATCTACACATAACAACAGTGATTCTCATACCCTTAACCTCCTGCAGTAGATTTTCGACAAAGAGAAAGTCCTTTTCTAGCGGAGGAGTGAGTCCGCTAAGAAACCTGTATTTAGTCTTTATATAGTCGAGGCCAGTGTTACACTGGTGTACTTTGTGAACTAATCTTGGACAGTGTAAATAAATTGGTTCGATCTTGTTAAACTGGCGTTGAAGTTGTCGGTTGATTATCCACACGGTATCCATGCTAAAAACACGAATACTAAATGCCTCAACAGCCAGAATTTATATATATCTATTTCCATATCAATTCCATGGATTGACGAGTTGGCACTGGGAAATTTGTAACCAGCGAACTGAAGTAGAAGTGGTGGGTATATACATTACCAAACTGAAGAAGAAGTGGTGGATATATACATTACCAAACTGAAGAAGAAGTGGTGGATATATACATTACCAAACTGAAGAAGAAGTGGTGGATATATACATTACCAATCTAAAGTAGAAGTGGTGGATATATACATTACCAAACTGAAGTAGAAATTGTGGATATTTGCATTACCAAACTGAAGTAGGCGAAATGGATTTTATTTAAAGATTTAAAGGGAGTTCTAAATTTAAAAACGCGTTCTATTTACAAGGGTCGTTAGTTGTATGTTATTTGTTCTTCAGGCGTCAAAGCCCACAAATATGACATTTTTATTCATTCTAATTGTATCATACCAAAGACATTGCATTAAATATTGAATATGTACGTTTTATTTCAATTTTACAATGTGTTCGTAAAGAAAAGATAAAAAATGCCAAAAGAAATATCATTAGTAAGACTCAAATAGGAGCATAAGCCATCAACAATACTGTTCAAACTGTCCCTGACCTGGGCTATCGTTGCTAGTTTAGCCCGTTTCTTTATTCTCTTCACCTATGACTCTACTCCCCTCTACTCCCCTCTGCTCCCCTCTACTGCCCTCTACTCCCCTCTACGCCACTCTACTCCCCTCTTCCATGTGGCTCTTGGTCTTTCCCTTGTCCTGTCACCTTGAGGATTCCCATTCAGGGCCTGTCTTATGATGTTAGTGTTTGGTTTCCTTAATGTGTGCACCAGCCCTTAAGTTGTATTACATGCAATAGCAAATAATTCATTTTATTTAAACATTAACAGAATAATTAAACTAAATATATTGGCTTAATGTTTAAATTGTGATGTTTGTGCAGCGTATTCCTAAATCGAACTATCCTAATTCCAGAACGGCCCGTACTTAACTTTAATCCAAGTATTCAGTCTATTCTAGACTTAAATTCTTATTCAATTGTTTCATTATTGGATATATATTTTTTCAAGCTTGACACCTTGTTTATTTCACAGCGCCTCCGTCATACCCATCCGTTATGTATTCAAGCAACAACTACGGACAACAAGTGGCGATGACGCCACCGTATCAACCGTACCCTTACCCCAACCAGGCGGGGGGTGTCGCATCAATGGACAGTGGCCTGCCACGTAAACAAGACAACCCCTTCGACCCACCCAGTTACAGCTCCCCCGCGACGTATGGATTTAACTCCTAGTTGCCCACTGGATTAATGATGTCACAGGAGTGTGCGTGCTACGTCATTGACATTATGCCAGTAGTCAACTAAACATCATAACGGAAATAATCATCAGCTTACATCGTATCGGAAAGTGATCAATGCTAACATCATAAAGGAAAGCGATAAGTTGCTTACATAATAATGGACAGAGATCAGTCGCTAACATCATAATGGACAGAGATCAGTCGCTAACATCATAATGGACAGAGATCAGTCGCTAACATCATAATGGACAGAGATCAGTCGCTAACATCATAAAGGAAAGCGATAAGTTGCTTACATAATAATGGACAGAGATCAGTCGCTAACATCATAATGGACAGAGATCAGTCGCTAACATCATAATGGACAGAGATCAGTCGCTAACATCATAACGGAAAGAGATAAGTTGCTTCTATCATAACACAAAGAGATCAGTCGCTAACACCATAACGCAGAGAGATCAGTCGCTAACATCACAATGGACATAGATCAGTCGCTAACATCATAATGGACAGAGATCAGTCGCTAATATCATAATGGACAGAGATCATTCGCTAACATCATAATGGACAGAGATCAGTCGCTAACATCATAACGCAAAGAGATCAGTCTTTAAAATCATAACTTAAAGAGAATCGGTCGCTAACATCATAATGGACAGAGATCAGTCGCTAACATCATAACGCAAAGAGATCAGTCTTTAAAATCATAACTTAAAGAGATCAGTCGCTAACTAAGGCCGAAAGTTTTGAATTTTAGTGATGGATAAATCATAATTGAACATCCGTTCATTTGTACACTTATAACTATTTAAGTGACGGATTTTGCCCTATGTTACATATATTTATTGTTCTCTCTATGTGTGTCATTTGTTTTTGTTTTTTTTTGTTTTTGTTTTTTTGTTAACACTTTAACCACTTTACTTCGAGAACATTCCATAAAAGTAAATTGTTACACAATGTGATTTGTACAAAATAAAGACTCTATGGGCCAAGTGATGGTTTGTTAATATGGGTTTCCTTCATCTTTTTTTCTCTCAGTCATCTCGTCAAAGATATTTTGTGCATCAATTCTTATCTTCAAATATTTTAGACTTGTAAAAAGAATGGGTTAATTTTCAAGCTTTAAAAAAAAAAAAAATAATGGTGAAATTGTACCGTGTACTTGATGTGTGAAAGTTTGTTTTTTTGTTGTTTTTTTTTTTTTGTCATTCATGAAATTCTAATAAGTTTAAAATTTTTAAATATATTTACATTTTTGTTAAAATTACCTTTGTTTTAAAATTAGATATAAAATTTGTTAATTGCACTTACGTTTTGATACAAACAATTATAAATAAATTACTTTATAAAATATTTTGAAGTAATATACATTTTTCTTGTGTGTGTCTAAGAACAAAACAAAAATTGTTTCAGTTGTTGTATACATTAATTGGATTATACATGATTTTCATAAATGGAGTTGTCTAACCATGAACTGGAGAAGTTGATTACCGCGATATTTAATTATTATTTTGATACATTGCTTTTTCGTTCGCACTGTTGCTAATTTAAATGGTTACATCTAGGTCTTGATGTTTCCTATACGTCTGTGGTCTTTCTCTCATCCAATTTGAGATGACCCTACAACTGTAACAGGAGCAGCAGCAAATGATGGTAACCACGGCAACGATGCAGACAACAACACCAACTATGACGGCGGCAATGATACCAGCGCTGTGGGAAAGTAAAAATAGTTACATGAGCATGCTGTGCTTACACCAGTTTAGTGAGTTGGTGTGCCTACGCCAATTAAGTGAGTTTGCTGTGCTTACACCAATTTAGTCAGTTTGCTGTGCTTACACCAATTTAGTGAATTTAGTGTGCTTACACCATTAAGTGAGTTTGCTTTGCTTACACTAACGTAGTGAGTTTGGTGTGCTAACACAAATTTACCATCTTTGGTGTGCTAACACCAATTTAACGAGTTTGCTGTGCTTACACCAATTTAGTGAGGTTGGTGTGCTAAAACCAATTTAGTGAGTTTGTTGTGCTTACACCAATTTAGTGAGTTTGTTGTGCTTACACCAATTTAGTGAGTTTGTGTGCTTACACAAATTTAGTGAGTTTGTTGTGCTTACACCAATTTAGTGAATTTGTTGTGCTTACACCAATTTAGTGAGTTTGTTGTGCTTACACCAATTTAGTGAGTTTGTTGTGCTTACACCAATTTAGTGAGTTTGTTGTGCTTACACCAATTTAGTGAGTTTGTTGTGCTTACACCAATTTAGTGAGTTTGTTGTGCTTACACCAATTTAGTGAGTTTGTTGTGCTTACACCAATTTAGTGAGTTTGTTGTGCTTACACCAATTTAGTGAGTTTGTGTGCTTACACCAATTTAGTGAGTTTGTTGTGCTTACACCAATTTAGTGAGTTTGTTGTGCTTACACCAATTTAGTGAGCTTGTGTGCTTACACCAATTTAGTGAGTTTGTTGTGCTTACACCAATTTAGTGAGTTTGTTGTGCTTACACCAATTTAGTGAGTTTGTGTGCTTACACCAATTTAGTGAGTTTGTTGTGCTTACACCAATTTAGTGAGTTTGTGTGCTTACACCAATTTAGTGAGTTTGTTGTGCTTACACCAATTTAGTGAGTTTGGGTACTTGAATACGCTCTTAAACTTGCGTTAATTTCTTCTTGTAACATTTGGAAGCTATGTCACCCTGTGTAATCCCTGTTGGTTAGGTCCGTCAATTTAATCCTTGCTTTGTCACTCAGTGTTATCCCTAAGGGCTATGCGAATCTATGTTATTCCTGCTGGCTGTGACACTCTATATAGCCCCTGCTATTTTACTCTATTGAATCCGTGCTATGTCACTCTATGGTAAAACGGTTAGTTAGGTCAGTTTCTGTCATCCCTGCTGTCTATGTATCTCTATGTAATTCCTTCTTTATCACGCTATGTTATCCATACGGGCCATGACACTGTTTTGTAAACCCTGCTGGCTCTGTCTCTACATATTACCCTGCAATGCCACTATTTGTAATCCCTGCCGGCTATGTCACTCTACGTAATTCCCTGCTGTAAATTAACCAGCATCATTTACCGAGCTGACAACTTGTCTGGTCAATGGGTCTGGAAGTTAGAGCTACTTATTGTCTTTTGCAACCAACAATCTTAAAGTCCATTTTTAAACATTAAATTTGTTTCAGTTGCCAATATTTCTAAAAGTTCTTTTTCTTTAACATAAAATATATCCAAAACATAAGTAGGTCCTATTTTTAAATGGGTAATGTACAAAAATAAATGGTGACACATTCTGGATGGTTCATAACCCACTGCGGGCAATACAGGCTGGAATTCTTCATGTCCTAAATTAATTATTTTTTACAAGAGTTGATTGATTCATGCGTATAAATATAAGACTTATTCTTTTTTTTAAAAAGGCTGCGACCATTCGTACCCGGGTACCAGAAGTGAGAGGTTGGTACCCGGATGCGAATGGCGGCGCTGCCATTCGGGTGTCATTTGTGGCAGTTTATTCTAGTTAAAATGAAGAATTAAGTTTACAAACATATATCCGTTCAATTATCTTTCATTTGATACCTCATTTTGTCCTACAAACCCAACAATTCAATTTTAAATATTTTTGTAATCCCAACCTCTCACTTCTGGTACCCGGGTACGAATAGCCACTTCGAAGAAAAATATCAAATTCATCTCCTCCATTTCCAGCTTGAATTTCATAAACAGAATTTTTTTAAAGATATGTAGGCTACCTAAAAAAAATGACGTATTTTGTATTGATCTAGTTTTGAAAGAAAGGAGATTTTCTATAATTGATTTCATTAGTTTATACATGTGATTAAGCAAAACAATTAATTGTTATATTTTGATGTGTAGGGCACTAATTAAATTCTTTGACGTAATCATATTCTTCCTTGGTTACCTTCTCTGTTAGAGGTCCACCACATTTTATAAATTTAACGCTACAAGGCTTAAGCTAAATTTCCGTCTCCCCCCAGAAAGTCTCTTGTTTTTACAGACACAGAAAGACACGCGCGCACACACAACACACAGACACACACACTCACCACCTCACCCTCACCCCACACCCAATAACTAACCCTCCCCTCCCCCCCTACATTTCAAAATCCGGTCGACTTTGTAGCTATTTTTGTGTTTCGGTAAATCATTTATATAAATAGTTATCATGATGCAGTTCTATAATTCTATCTAAAGAAATGTGTTGGTTTCTCCGAAGAAATCTGCACCCTTTTAAAAAGATATTCGATGAGGTGGTCTTTGCACACAGAATACACTCTAAAGTAGTTTTTTTTTCAAAAGCAGTACGCACCCTCAAGAGTAAATAAGCCGCATGTTATCTTATCAGTACGGCCTCTATAAATAAACATGTAAATAACACGTCTTTAAAAAAAATAGGTGCCACATGAAATAAACAGCTCTTTTTAACACGATATCCATATTATGAAGATTCAAATTTAATCATTATTCCACCCAAGATTAAAATTTTAAAAAAATGTTTCGTCGACCAAATTTATTAAATATTTATGCCTTGCATCCAACCCTGCCACCACCCTCCAAAAGACAACAACAATTATAAACCAATTATCATAAAACTTAAATAAATATTACTTTGATAATCGGATTGCAATATTAAGTCGGTCATCTACTTTTAGAAGATTACTTCTTTTACGCCAGCTTATATCTATACCACTAGACACTGCGATGCGAGTAGTTATTGTATTCATTATATTTACTGTATGTTTATTTATTTACTATTAAGATAATGTACTGTACGATTTGGTGACGATATTGTACGGTTTCAGGAGTTCGAGGGTAATCAGGTCTGCAAATCTAGTTACATCAATATAACTTTGAAAATGGTAACTTTAAGGAGAATAGCAGCCAAGAGGTCTTCGCACGTGAAATTCTCGTAGCTTTCTAAACATATTTATGTTTTATCACAAAGAAATGTGTTCCAAACGTTTTATTAAGCAAAATCATGTACCGTCGGGGGGACGGATGAACTGGATTCGCGGGCCGGATCCGGCCCGCGGGCCGTAGTTTCGTTACCCTCTGAACCAGTGGCTGGGATAATCCTATAACTCTACACCTTGTATGACCTGGTTAGAGATAGTGGAACATACGCATTCGGGTAACGTCTATATTCTTTAGTCCGAGGGTTTCAATATTGATTCAAGCAACCGGGGCATGCATCAAGAATCTCGTACGACGAGTTGGCGTAGTTAGACATCACGTTGCCTCCAAGTGAGCTTCAGTACATTTCGAAACATACAATGGATTTGCGAATATTATCTGTGCATTTTAATTTGGTTAGTACGCTGTCAAAGGGCTTGTTTTTTTTTAACGTACAAAAGTTGGATGTTTTGACTATGACATCATCGTGTACAGTCATCAAACTAGGAAACAACCACTCCTTAGCCTCAGCTTTTTTTAGCTCTCCATTGCTGAATTTCATCTATCAGGGACACCCTATGACGTAGTGGTTACTATTTTTAACCATTAAATAAAAACATTGTAGGTGCATTCAATTTTGTTCTTAGTCTAAGCTGAGTTTCGTCAGATAAAATAAATATGAAACACAAAATTTAGGTGGCTTTCTGTTGCTGAGGAGATTTAATAGATAAGAAATATATATATTTTTTTTAATTCTCTGGTTTATTTAGGGTGTGTTAAGTAATTTTTCAAAGTATTTAAGTAAGAAAAATAGAAATGTGTACCTTTTGTATTCTCTAACAGTGAAAAGTTTAATAACTTCTTAGATATGTTTGCTTTTAACAAAATCATGTTTTAATTTAAGGAAAACACAATAGTTAACCATATTAAAGTCTTTTCTTTTATTTTGAAAAGTATTTAAAATTATTTTTTAATCTTTTATATTTATATATATTCATAAATTTTTATATTTACTATCTATGTTATTATTATTTAATTTAAAATAAGTCAGTTTGATGAATCTCAGGACTTTAGAACAAGAATAACCTTATAAGGTTAGGTAAAATTTCCTCCGTAAAGTACCTGGGTGTTACCATTCAAAGAGAGCATATTAAGCAAACAAGACCCTTGGGTTCTTAAGGCGAAATCTAAAGATTGGCAACTCCTGTGTGAAAGAAAGAGCATATAAAGCCTTTGTCCGTCCGGTTTTAGATTATGCATCTTCAGTCT